TCCTTTCACTCTTCCTTATAGAAGCAAATCCTCAGTATATGGAATTGACAAGGAAGAAAAGTGGCATCCTGCTGCTCACTCTGGTGTCCTTCCTCATTTTCATACTCTTCATCATAGTCCAGCTGTTCATAATGAAGCTGCGGAAAGCACACGTGATGTGGAAAAAAGGTGAGTGGCCAGAGAACGCGATGGAGGCTAGAAGATGCCGGAACAATTGGCTAGGAAAAGTCTGTCAATTAAAACTTTTTTCGTTAAATGCTGCACGATCTATTTGCTAAGTACTGTCATTCAAATAAGCAATTGTTTGTTTTCTAGTAAATGCGGGCTGTGAGCCTTCAGGGACATAGTGAAAGAGTGCATAGCCAACTGACTCTGGAGTGGCTCTGGGAATTGGTGTTAAATTATAGAAGCTTCTGCTCACGAAGGGATTCAAAGTGGAGAGCTAATTCATCTGTGCATTCACTAAGCATTCATTGAGCATCTTCTGTGTGCTAGGCACTGTTCCAGACACTGGGGACATGACATGTCTGTCAATAAGTCAGCCCAGTTCCCTGCTCCCAAAGAGTTCATATTCTAGTGGTGGCCAGAGGTTGAACATAACAGACTGTTTCAGTCCCATTCCTACTTTACTCAGCTTCACTCAATCACAATATATCAGTCATTGTTTTAAGCATTCTGATTAAAAAGTTATCACTGTAAACAAAAAAGTATTATTTAACTAGCATAGACGATACCTATTAAAATACATAGACTCAACATATATCAGAGCTGTAAGGGACCTACGAAGTTATCCAGAATGACCATCTACTCAATTCATTCCACAAACATGTGTAGGGATCAAATCCCCTCCTTAATTCTGAGTGATTATCCAGTCCTGTGCTGTCCAATAAATCAGCCACAAGATGGCTACTGAGAACCTGACATGTGGCCAGTCCCTATTGGGATGTGCTGTAAGGATAAAATACACATCCCATTTTGAAGACTCTGTACACACATATACACATACACAAAAGAATATACCCAATAATAATATCTTGGATGTACTAATTAAAATGTTATTAAATTAATTTCACCTTCTTCTTTTTACTTTTTGTATGTGGCTACTAGGATATTTTCAATTACACGTGTGGCTTACATTATAGTGCTATTGGGCAGTGCTGATCTAGCCACATCAGGCTCACATACCTCCAGTGACAGAGAACTCCTTATGGCCTAAAACAAAATACTGCATCTTTGAATAGCTCTGACTCTCTTAAAAGAATCACTTGTGCTAGTTTAAAATCAGTCTCTCCAGGTATTCGGAAAGGGTAATATCCTCATTATACACAGACCTAGAGCCAAGGTCTGACTTTTCAGCTGTTGCGACACACTAGGCCAATGCCATAACATTGTTTCAAAATCTCTCCACCGATGCTTCATCCCTGTCATCCTTTTAGGGCTACATGAATTGTTCCTTTCTGAAAGACAACACTTGGTTCTAATCCGTGGTCATTTGACTTCCGGGACTCATAGCGCCTAGCATAGGGCTTACTGGAACCATAGCAAAGACTAAAGCACTATGTGTTGAAATGAATGAGGATGTGAGGTATGGGAAGGCCACAATAAGTCTCCTATCGTACAGTAACAGAGATATCATCGTATTCAAGCATATGTTTCTACATGTCTGTGGCATGACAAATTAGTAACTTAATTTTCTTTTCTTGCAGAAAATGAAATTTCAGAAAACACACTAGAAAGTTATAGATCGAGGTCAAATAATGAAGAAACATCATCCCAAGAGAAAAATGGCCAAAGTAAGTCAATTGTGTGACCTGAGATTTGAAAACTGAGGTTCATTA